TGTCGTTTACTTATCGTCATTTCCTCAAAATACTATTTGAAAAAGGAATAAATTTTACTAGACGGTATTTTTTGATATAAAAACGATTCTAATTCGGTTTGGAAAAAAAATGGTAGAACTACGATACTGAGCGATACTAGACGAATACGGTCTTAGCGGTTTTAAAGGGGAATCTTTAACCAGTAGCAGGAGGACGAGAAATCCATAACCTGATTACTTAATCAAAGAGGGTGTCGCATTTACCTTGGCCTCGTGGTTGTGGGAGTAAAGGGGTGGTGATCGCTCGTATTGAAGCGGATGAAATCAAAATGATTACCCTGGCCTGTCAGCGTCAGTCATACTGGCTTGTGAATCGCCTCTTTACAAAATTTTAAGTATTGGAGACCTATATTTATGTTATTGAATTGCGATGTATGCTGTGCTTTTGTGCATAGAGATGAGAACAGTATTCTATATGCGGCCGGACTTGTATCTTGTATGTTTGTAAATTTCTTTATTATCTCGTATCTTCCAAATGGCTGGATGGATTTCGACAGTTAAGGTATACCCAAAAGTTCTTAGATGGCTTTTTGAAAGAAGTTAATAAAAAAATAAGTTTTATATTTAACTAAATAAGGAATAATAAATTGGTTTAAAAAGTTTTTGATATCGGCGTAATAGTTTGTGTCGGACCTCTTGCTGTTTTGGTCTTTTTACGAGTAGTGCATTACTTTTAAATTGTCCTTTTGCAGTCGGGTTTATTATTTTTTTGATTATTACTTGTTACCGCTTACTGGTTGTCAAAAATAATCCCATTTTATTTGCTTGTCTTCCTCGTGATACAATTGCGTATCGGTATATAGGATAGTGATGTTTTCTATCTGATATATTAAAAGACACGCCGACATCCATTAGATGAGCTTAACATTGCGTGTTTCATATTTAACTGTAAGTCACTTTAATAACTACTTGTAATTATTACCTTTGCTGATAAAAATGCAGTATTTTACAAGATTTACTGCTAAAGATTATCATTCGCTTATTAAACTGCGTCATTGTCATAGCTGCACATCTAGGCTGATTTAGATAAAACTGAATTCCAGGTATTTTTAATCGTTTTGCACTGGCATAATGAACGCCGCTATCAATTTGTATGAAGGACAGACATTATGAAGTGTAATGCCTTAGAAACCTGGTGATGTCGCTTGCAATAACCTAAATTGGTTTATTTTATGTAATTAGTACTTTACAAATATAACAAGTTAAAATAACTTTGATTACTGATCTTTATTTTTGAGTAACATTTCTAAGAGAACAGTCTTAAGAGTTCCAGTATGTAGTTGTTATAGTTTCGGATATGGAAAACTTACAACTAAAAAACTTAAATATAATAAAGAGGAGAAAATTGTATTAGTTAGCGGAGAGCTAATAACAAATTTTTGCTTATAGTAATTGATAAACAAAGAATATGTGAGCGAAGTCAAAGAAACACATTACGCATTAGGAACTACATTATATAATTATTAAATGGAAAACAATGTATGACCTGAAACATTCATGTGTGTGGTTTTGTTCTTATGAACAAAAGATTAATTTGCCAGTTTGACAATTTTGTTAGACTCAAATTACACCTTACAGTGCACGCACTTACTAAGCGACAGTTAATGTAGCACTGTTTCTATAGGCCTATTAAATTTTCTACTAGGTGTTACAATATAGCTATTTTACGTATAATTATTTATTTAATTGTTAAAGAAATTGATTTACAGGGTATATTTAAAGACATTTTTTCTTCCTGCCTGCACCGTGCAACCTGTTCGAAACGTCAAATAATTCATAGGCATGTACTTTATACCTATTGTAAGCGCGTGAATTCCTGTAAACAATTATATATTTAACGACAATAAAGATAGGAGCTGAGGGCTATTAATATTATTATTCCATATATTCTCAGGACGGAAATAAAATTGGCTATTGCACTAAGATTATGAAGAAGTATGAGATAAAGTTTTTTTAAAAATTGATAATACTTTCTGGATTGATATCGTATATGTCGGTGAAAGTTGGATTACGTTTTTGATATCTGATTAGAGACGATTTGAACACTTTTGTATCAACAGGGATGCCACATCTGACGTACAAATGACTCCTGATAAAAGCACAATAGAAAGTTAAAACTATTTTACCTTCAGTAAAATGATAGTCTCGTGTTAAATCCAGAAGATTTCAAGTCTTTTTAAACAATACTATCAACATTACCTAAGTCACGTGCGATACTTTTTCTTGAGAAAGCTTTCATTAAGTCCGCCTTTGTACAACATGTGCATTAAGGTTTAAATAAAATAAAATAAAAAATATTACTCTTCTTAAATACATTATGCTGTTAACTATGCTGACAAAAGCTAAATTATGTCGTAATATAGTATGTATAAAATGTCCTTCTGAAAAGCATAAAAAAGTACATGCCTTCGTATTAATAAACCGATACACACAAACAGGTGGTAATGCCGAGATGGCTCGTAAAACTCAGTTCATTGAGATATGTATCGTAAATCACTGGTAGGTGCACTTAGGCACCGATGAGTGTACTTGCACATAATCCGCAGAGATTAAAAGGCAGTAACTTAGTAAAAATATGTACCTACTAGCTTTTGCCGGTGGCTGCGCCCGTGTATATGAATCCAACTAAAACCAAATTTGATCTAAATCGGTTCAGCGGTTATTCATTCCTCATACAAACTCCACCCTTTTCACCCCCTTGAAGGATGATTTTTGTGATAAAAACAATCCTATGTCCTTTCCCGGGACTCGAACCCACCTCTATACCAAATTTCATTTAAATCGGTTCAGTGGTGTAAGCGTGACAGACAGACACACTTTCACATTTATAATATTATTGTTATGTTAATATGGATTATATTTTCCCTGGGATAGGGCCTGATCAGGCATGGTGTCAATTCGGGGAGGACCTGAAATAACATGGTCCAGGTCCTCCCAGAATAGGGCAACTGCGTCCGGCCGTTGGGGTGGTTTTTAGTGGAATCACCACATACTCCTGGCTCCTGAGTCGCCGAGGAGCAGGAGATCCGAACGGATTTTCTACCCCGTCAAAAAAAGTATGGATATCGTTTAATTTTAAGAGCAAAATCAAAGCTGGTTTACACAAACTTAAATAGAACTGCAATCTTGTAGCAATGAATCCCCTAAATTTACTGATAATACTGGAACAGCAATTACCAATGACAGCACTTACTTACAATTTACCTTTTCCCCACAGAAGTTTGACAGCCCTAATGTTGATCAGAAATGCAAAACAGTATGTGACAGTATGACAATATTTTTTTATCATTATCACTTCCTCATCATTAAATTCATCTCGTTCATGAAATCTTTATTTAAATATCAAGTTCCACGTGCAATAAAAAACCTTTGATAATTTGCTTGAGATAAGTTTTTAGTCTGAACCAGTGAAAGACACCCGAAACTTTCTATATCTGCATGATTACAATCTTAAGCACGCGGAAAAATATCTCCAGTATAATACGTAAATATTATCTTAATTAATTGGTCAAGAACTGAATAAATTTTGAATGAATACACTTGCTTGAAAAGATTTCGGAAATGAGGACATTCCTCTTGGCAACCATCAGCACTTAATCCTTCAAGGTATGTAAGACGGAATTGGACCTTGATGAAATTTTCCGTTCAAAGGATTCAGGAAACCGTGTGTAAACTTTTATTAAGGAAATATGGATATTTTAATATCAATTTAATAAAATGAAATGAAATTTATGATTTTAACTTAAACCTTACTTGTACAGCAGACATCAAAATGTCTTTCGGATATTATTCAGAAACTTGAGGTATTTTAGCATTCTTTGCTAAGATAACCTAATAGCAAAAAATGGGACAGAAATAAGTGAATCATTTCTAAGTCAAGCGAAGCATTAGACTAGATCTCTAAAGCGATAACAAGCTGAAAATAGAGTTTAGGAGAGTTTATTCAACTTCGTAAATCAACACCCTTAATTTGCTATTTTTTTGGTTAAAAATGATATCACAATGAGTAAACAGAACATTTAACCGAAAAAAAAAAAAATAATACCGCATACGGTCTAAAACTGCAGTCATTAATCAAACAGCCTAACGCGCGGCGCCTCCTCTCCGGCCGTCAACTTGTGTTAGTGTGCGTAGACTGTTTGTACGGAATACACATACAGTTATTACTTTTGTGCAATACTAATAGGGAATGACCTTAACCTTTGACAGCTGATTGCGTAAAAATAATAATTTTCCGGCAGAAAATTTCAATGATTTTAGACTCAGAATGATGGTCTGAATACACTATTTCAGTATTCGTTACGATGTCCCTTACACCCTGTATATTTTAATGAATGAAGGCAAATACAATATCACTTTCATTACCATATTAACAATTGGAATTATACTTCGTTATCTCGCCTTGAGATTCTTAAAACAGCTTATATTGACAGAACTGTTCTTATCAACATTACATTATTAGTACAAGGATAAGAAACATACAAAGACACAATGGTGCGAATTCTGTTGTTCGAAAACACTCTAAACTAAACTAAAAATTAGCACCAACAGAATTAGCACCAATAACTATTTAGAAGTGCTATTAAAGGATATTTTAAATTAAAAAATAAATAATTAAAGTACTTTTAAAAAAAAACATAATAAAATCATTGATAACTCAAGCTAATGTAACGAATCATCATAGGACACATAAAATCAAAATACACTTAAATATTTTTAAATGGACATGCCTGTTCATTGCCAAGGGAGAAGAAAGAGGTTTATTACGACCAAAGCCGTCAATTACTTCTTTTATTGCACACGTAAAATCCTAGTAAATAATTAAGAAAAACTCACATACCTAATCTCTATCAAAGAAAACGAAGGATTTGTTTTTGCTTTACTGAGCACCTAAAAATACGTGCTTGTGTGTGTTTGTTTGTTTTTGTGTGTGTGTGTGTGTCTATAAAGTTGACAAAATTATGATGGTATCTAAGATGCCTACTGATACAGGCGTGAGTGTGTGTATGTATGTAATGTTTACCTACTTATTCACATACCACACTGTCCTAAAACTGTCTTCAGAGACATGCGTTACGGTTAATTCGAACGGCAGTATAGAAACTAGAAATCCAATCTATTAGTCTGCCACTAGTAGCCTACTTCACCTGCATACTGTACAGATCAGATGCAAACACTCACATTGTTAACTTGATACACATATGGCTAGGGTTGCCACGTATTCGAATTTACGCGGATTTTCCTGATATTTTTTTCTAATAGCCATTACAATTAATATCAAACATCTAAAGATAAGCAGTAACTTTAGTTTATGTATGTTTGCAACACCAAGCGCGATTCACACTATCATTCCTATAAAAACTTTTAAATGCCCTTAAACTTGAAAACTCTCATAACTATAATCAATTCAGAAGCACATAACAATTTCAAAATTTGTATATCGGCTTTTTATTCTTAGATCTTCTGTATTAAAGTAAACCATTAAAAGTGAAGTAGATTCAAAAGTCCTTACCATTATCTTATTAATATCTAATTATGTATCTGTATAATGACTAACTTTTAAAACTTAAAGCTTTACAAATCCCTTCAAGTTACCTAAATCCTTGTCGTTTGGTGACAAGGCACGATTTCCGTGTTACAAAACATGATTATTCCACATGAGTATTAAAAAAAGGGTATAATAACTTGTATTAATTTTGATTAACAATAAAGATTACCCTTCTTCACTCTTTTAACGTGGTGTCCCTAGCCAGGCGTAAAGCTAATATTAATGTGTGAAATAATCTGTCAAAGATAATTGTTATACCTGTGTGTTAATTCTATAGGTAGTTTATATGTTACGGGTAAGAAACTCAACGAAGTCTTTGAGAAAAAGCTACATGCGGAAGATAAATCAATCATTTCATCAAGTATTATAATAATGAGTAATCATCCTCGAAAATACAGGTGTTTAATAGTGACTAAATAAGAGTATATTGTAATTGAGTTCAAGTGAATGAATGAATGAAAAACAAAACAATTCAAAAAGAGGCGATAGTCCCTGAGTTTGTTCGTCCTTTCTTCTCAGGGCTGATCTAGTTAGAAAAGGCCGAACTCATCTTGCTCTAAAAAAGTTCGACATGCAAAAGTCTGTAGAGAAATTCCTATTATATTTATATATTTAAGTTTTAATACTAGAGGATAACAGCTAAATTAATGTTCTTAATCAAATACTCAGAACCAATTATAAATATATAGTATTTTATATATATATGGTGTATACCTACTAAGCCTGGCTAAAGTTAACTACTAAGTCACGTACGAGCATTTATCTTGTTCGTATTAAGTGATAGTCAAATATTGTCGCTAGCGCCATCGTACTAAAAATTACATTTCACGTAGTCTGAGTCATTTGCCTGTTTAATTGGCGTAAAAATTACATCGCATCGTATCAAAATTAACTGGCCCCCATATTAAAGTTTAATGTATTTCAGTAAGTGCATAATATTTTCAGAAATTAAAAGGATCAAATGTAATTAGGTTCGTTAAATAAAAGGTGTATTAAAGAAGTTACAATAACAGCCTGCGATTCACAAACTTTTGGAATATAGGGAGGTAGACAATAGCATAAGGATTTCGTACTCATCGATATTTTTGTTGTAATTTTTGTTATTTTGCATTAAACATATAGTAACTCCAGCCTAAAACCAGCGGTTTTTGGCACTTCATAGATACCTAATGATAATTTGTATTTTGTTCTCAGGTGACAAACAAAACCTCCGGCAAGGTGATGGTGCTCAAAATGAACCAACAACGCGCTAATAGGCCTAACATGCTTCGGGAAGTGCAGCTCATGAACAAACTAAAGCATCCGAACATACTCGGGTAAGGGTCTCACCTATTATAGAGAGCTATAATAGCTCTCTTGTAAAAAGTTAACGCCCGCACTAGGAATATATCCTGTGTCGCGGGAAAGTTTACAGACATACATGAAATGGACACAAGGAACACCCAGACTCAGAACAACAACATTCAGGGCAGTAGGAAGCGGCGCGGTGACCGCTTAAACAACTTGCGCCATCCGTGCAGTCTCTGTTATAACTCAACTCTTATATAAAATATATATTCAAGCCTTTCTAGTAAAGACGTATCTAATTTGAATGTAAAAGTAAATGACATACATAGTAATGGAGTTTTATATTAATGATTTGTAATGATTATGAGACGTTATATCAGTACTATATTAGTACAAATGACGTATCAGTTTAAGCCGTCATGTAACGCTGATCGTTATATGTTCCATCCCAGTTATATTTGTTCATTTGTATAATTACATGATAGTTATATCGCTTGCGTAGCTTTTTTGTCGTAGAAACAATGCGTTTTTAGTTCGATGTCAATCGTTAGCAGTCCACATTACACACACACACAAACACACACACACACACACACACACACACACACACACATCAACAGCCTTTAATAGTCCACTGCTGGAGATAGGCCTCTCTTTAAAAAGGTGGTTTTGGCATACTATATCACGCTGGCCAGACGGGTTGGTATATATAGGGTTTGTTATAAGTTTTCCTTCTCTTTGCAGTGCTGTTGTCTTGCGTAGTAAAATGAAAACTAGCAAAAGGGAACTGAAGTACTCAAATTTTATGATAAAATAGGCAAAAAGAAATAGAGCACGATAGTATATGAAAAGTGGAAAACAGAAATTAAAATGTAAAAATAGATTACTTAATACAATACACACAATATACTAAACACGTATAATATGCTAAACACAGGCACAAATCCGTAATTAACTACAGTCTTCAAAAATATGTAAAAGTATATTATTTGTGAATATTATATCCGCAATGAATTCCTAGAACCTCTCTGAAATCCATTATAACTCATAACAAGAACAGAAATAAAATCAAAAATAGATAATAACCCTAGAACCTAAATGTGATGTCCTACATATATATCAAATGTTATACAACATTCTTTGTAAACATCAAACATCTCAAGGCTGGCGTGTTATGAATTTAATCTTAATATCCATTAAAATGAAAAACGATCTTGATTTGTGTGATAAATGTTAATTAAACCGGATACGATACTACCAGAAATAATATGTAATAGCTTAAATGCTGTTTTTAATCTGTGAATATCATACGAGCTTCTGTCTGTCCGTGTGCTTTCCAAAGAGTTATTCTTAAGTAAGTTTATTGAAATGTCTTTTATTCGTATGTAAATCGTAGTGATGTATTGATACCCTTTCTCTCAGGAACATTCTGGAATCCTTCTTCCTTCCTTTGTTTCTTTGGAAATTCAAAATCATTTTAAATGCATTTTATTTATTTGTTACTTCTGTAAACGTAATAACTTTGGGCCTCTAAATCCGTTACGGTCAGAGAGGGGTCGGTGGGTATCGAAGCGGAACTATGACCAGGGCTTATTTAAATGCTTTGTCTTCACCAACCGATACTATCACACCCATCTATCTTGACTGCCTGCATTATAAGTATAGTTAGATGACAAAATACTATATTATCTCGCTCTGTTCTTGTTTATCCAATATAAAACCTTATAAGGTTTTGCTTATTCTTTCTCGTTCTTGCGTGATATAAAATGTTCTGTAACCATCTTCCACAAGCCGTCTATAAATTTCAATTTAAAGAAACTGATATAAGTGATTAAACAGTTCAACTATATTATATTAGTGTAGTAAAAAATACAAGGTAATTTATTGATCTAATCCAATCGATCGGTATTTTTAATCGATTTAAACCACCTTTAAAAAAGTATCTTCTTCAATGCGCACACATAACGATGAATTGTAAAAAAAAATATTTTTCATTCCTTATTTACTACCTTACTGATGGTGTTTTTTCTTTGAATTTGAGTTACACAAAATGAGAAGTAAATAAAACACATTATTACAAATAAGAAGATTGTTAGCGATGGGGTGGTGGGTCACTGTAAGATAGTACTGTTTTAAATTAAAAAAAAGGGCGTTTCCAAATCGGTTTATAAATAATGGACTTCTGGGGTAAACTATATATAAAATACAACAAAATTGTGAACCTTTTCAAGTCGGTTAAAAAATATCAACACTAAAACAAGCTTCTTTTTATAACCTTCGCAATCCAAGATTAATTGGTATCAATCAATCATCGGTATGATACTATTGTGTTACGTCGGCGTCAGTAACCGCTTTCCACACTACCATAATTGGTCAACTTCAATTAATATTATATAAAAGAAAAATCATCTTCAATGACCGTAAATGATGAAAAAAGAAAACAATTAACTGAGACACATTTTATTCGAAAATTCCCAGTTTAAAAAATATAAAAAAAAATCACAGGGCAAAGCTGGCACGTTACTAACAAGGTTTATATATATTTCTAACAAAAAGGGTCATTACATTTAAAATGTTATATAATAATAATATAATATATTCTACCACATACACACAACGCCATCTAGTCCCAAACTAAGCAGAGCTTGTACTATGGGTACTAGACAACTGATATAAATACATATATACTTTTTTTTTTGTAAATACATACATATTATACATAGAAACACCCAGACCAAATCAAACATCAAATGTTCATGCACACAAATGTTTGACTTGAGCGGGAATCGAACCCGCGACCTTTGGAATAGCAGTCCGTTACACAAACCACTACGCCATCCAGTCGTCAATAATATACATGTGTAACAAAACAAGTACAGAATATGGATGTGGTGATTTATCTGCTTTGACCCAGTGAACTTTATCAAATACATCTTGTATAACGTTGAAATGTGAATACATTAATTATGTATATTACAGTTTAATGTCTTTATAATATCAACAAATTATAAAATGGTGATCTGTGGACAGGAATGTTAAGGTTATCGAAGAGGTCGCAAAAATACCAAGCTGTTTTTTTTGGATTTGATATTACATAAGGATAACGGAGGGTCTCGTTGCTAAGTGGTAACCGATTAGTTTAACACAAGTTAAGCAATCCTTAGCCAGGTCAGTCTACCTATTGATGGGTGACCATTGTTAACACATTGAGACCCCTCCGTGCCTTGGAGAGCATATTAAGCCGTTGGTACCGGTTGCCATACGAACATCTGTCCCAATCGTTACGGGTAGTGTGACCCCTAAACGGTACGACAATCGTTTTGTTACAGAACTGCGATATCGGCTTATAATTGGATTGTGGAGGTATGATGGCAGTCGCTGCGCGTAAAAAATCGAATCGAACTTCAACCGTATCGTAATAGACCTAAATCTGAACCTTGTTCGGGAAGGAAGGGCTCGGAGGAAGAACAATAAAGTTAATTAAAGAAAGAAGATGATAAGATGATGTTACACATATACCTTTCAACTCTCATCCTAATCAGAAGCTACTCCCATATTTTCAAAATGCAATAGATATTAATATGCTAGTGCAGGTAACATATAAAATTGCAAAACATTTCAAAAATATATAACGTTAAAATAGCAATAAACAAAAAAGTGTATTAAAAATTCATAAAGAAATAGGGAAATGTAAAGATAATTATGTTCAACTTGTACATTTCATTGTTTTTTTATAGAACGTCTAGTTTCATTGGAAATTGTGTAAAGATGTGTTCAACCCCTAATACGAGTAGTTCAACTATTAATGAAACTAGTAGACGTTCTATAAAAACAATTAAATGTACAAGTTTTAGATAACAGGTCAAAACAATTTTCTTCAAACAAGTCTGAAGTAATTGTTTACAATTTATTGAAATTATTTTAAATAAATAATCCAGAGTCATTTTGGTGATATATTCCCATGTGCTAAAAAAATTTTGTATAATAAACCTATAAACTTATTTTTTATTTTAAGCTATTATATTTGGATTCTATAAAGAATATCACTTTCGGAAAGGTTTTCGTGAAATTCTAAAAGTTTAAAAGAAAGTGATTTAACCTAATGAAAACCAATTATAGAAAGTAATTTTGTTTAATTTCTTTTAGTATTTAATGATAAAAAGATGACGCCTGACTTAGAATTATTCCCACGTGACCAGGCACTTTACAAACATAAAAAAACGAGTATGTCAACTCAAACGACACTCAACCTCGGGACTAGTATTTGTGAATCATGAATCTTTTCGCCTTGTGTGAATATGGAATCCACAATACTCTTCTCAGCTAATGAGAAGGCGACAACTTTATCCATTGAACCATGTGTGAATTAACCCATGAACACTTACACCAAGATATTATACAAGTACCAAGATTATTAACTACATAGAATAGGTAGCAAGGTCGGAAAGATCAGTAATCAATTACAAACATCATTAGGAATATAAAAGAGCTGATATACTAACTGCATTATATTATCTCAAATGCCTTAATAGATAATACTTCCACGACCTTATAACCTAATATTCAAACGAATAATCCAGTTTGCATCGCCAACAACATTACTCAGTACATTCAAATAAGATCACGATTTTTTCTGTTATCGTAACATCACAGTCAATAATTAACATTGCCATTCATGAATTATTTCTTTAATGATAATCGTACGTGTATTATTATAAAGATACATTAATCAAAAGGACATCAGAAGTTCAATAGAGATATATATTCCATGGTTAAAATCTCGAAGATTATACTAAAATATAAAAACAAACTCATAACATAGGCAAATATAATAAAATTAATATCAATTACAATCCCCAGCTTATACCCATTAAAGCTTCTAGAATGACGTACATAGGAACAACAAACTTCATTGTGACTTATGATACTTGTGGCTCTGACGTCAACAGATCATCTGTCCGTGCACTACAAGATTATCGAGATGCAGCTAGGGTTATCAACTGTCCAAATTAATTCACGACTGCTACCT